GTGCTTCTCTTGTTTCTCTTTACCTACGGTGAAAAATACGTTCGATTTTTAGTTCAGCAAGTATCAGTTCAATATCCCTCGAATTTCACATAAAATGCCTGAAAAAGAAAATAGAAACACTAAAATAACTTGAAAAAGAAAAAGAAATAAAATAAAGTGAAAAGAAAAAATTTCGAACTAGTGCCTAAATAAATTAAATTAAACTAAAATACAATCCCTGGCAACGTTGCCAAAAACTTGTTTACAAAATTATCTTTCAAATTAAAATTACCGCAAGTTTATGATTCGTTAACAAGTAATAAAGTGAATTTTGAATCCAAATATCATCCCACAGAGATTGTATTAGTTTAAAATTTTAAATTATTTTTGCCTTAACCGAAATAATAGAAATTTGTGAATTCTTTTTCGATAAATTAAATGATCTACTTATGAATGCCAAAACATAATTTAACTAAAATAAATACGCGATTATAATTAAATGCAAGTTTTATAAAAATATGATGAAGAAATGTGTGCTAGGATCTCAAATCCTCTTATATCAATCCCCTTCAACCCGAATTTTATAAAATTGACATTACGATTCAATTATGAAGAACAATATTTCTAATTTGTTTAACAATCTCTCTCGAATAGAATTAAACCTATTTTTACTCGTGACCCGACTATATTTTTATGACGGATGCGAACATATAAAAATGTATTAAAGATTTATGAATACTTAAAATTCACGTAAAGCATAGCGGTATATTTCTATTCCCTATCTGACTTTATGACAATTGACAAAATGTCTAACTTATTTTCCATCTCACGAGGGTAAAACAAACCACAAAACTCATACAACTATTGTGCATATAATTGTAGAGAAAATAAAATTTATGCCAATAATTCAATAATTAAAAATGTGTTTTAACGTCAAAATAAATAAAATTCAAGATTAAAAGTTCATAATACAAGGTTCATCGTAAATCATAGCACAAAATAATTTAACCGAGCATAATATTAAAATTAAATAAAGAAAGGATAAAATATATCACCAAAAATCGATCAAACGTGGCTAATCCTGCTCACTTTCCAGCTACGGTCACGCGTATATGTTTTCACTCCCAATTACTGACTTTGTTTTCATTCCTGCCTCCCAGTTACCAATTGAATTCTTCAACTGAGAGACCAATTTTCAGCCTCCAATTGAGCCGCCGTTTCTTGTGTCTTCTCTTCCCTTTAGTTTTTTTTTTTTTTTTTTTTCTCCTTGTTTTTTGTTTTTTGATTTTTTTTTGTTTTTTTGTTTTTGTTTTTTTGTTTTTTTGTTTTTGTTTTTTGTTTTTGCTTTTGTGTGTGTGTATACATATATCATCCAGCCCCGCCACCTTGTATTTTATTTCCAGCAGCCCGCCTCTAAAGAAAATGACTCTCCTTGTTTATTGATTTTCATTTCAATTAAAAGTCCAAAAGAAAAGCCCATTTAATGTAGTGTTTTCTTCGAAGTCCTCAATTCTTCCATGTAATGCAAATTAGTCTTTTTCTTTATTTTCTCCTCAATTTTGATCCTCCAACTTTTATTTCACGAGATTTTGTCCACAAACTCTATTTAATAGCCAATTGATCATTTTCTTTTCCAATTGCTTCAAAACGGGTCCATAACTAAAACAAAAGAAAATTAAACAAAATTAGGTGGAAATTAATAATTTGATGATATAAAGGCTTAATAATATGGCATAAATAAGTGCAAAAAATTCACTTATCAGATGGAACCTAGACATCCTATGAAATTGTACAAAAATCATAATACATAATTCCATGGTCAAATTTTGGGGAGAGCTAAAAACTTAGGGGGTGTTCTCTTTGTGTTTCAGTTTTGTGTTTTGAGTTTTGAATTCATTTTGAGTTTTGTGTTTTGAGTGTTTGTTTTGAAATTGTTGAAAATGCGTTCTTTTTGTTAGTTTCTCAAAACAAAAAAAATGAAATTTTTTTTTTTTGAAATTTTGAGAATCACCACAAGATCACCTCAAAAAAAAAAAATAATAAATAAAAAAAATAAAAAAATATATATATATATAATAATTTTTAATTTTTTTTTTTGAAATTTTGAGAATCACCACACCACGTCCGAAAAAAAAAGGCGTTTCCCGCGTTTTCAGTTTTTTCAAGTTTTACACTGAAAACACCCAAAACAAAAGTCGTTTTGTGTTTTCTTCACAAATTTTTTTTTCGTTTTCGAAAATTCGTTTTCGAAAATGGGAAAGAGAACACGTTTTCACCGTTTTGAAAAATCGAAAACAGAAAACGGCCCGAAAATGGTAAAGAGAACAGGGCCTTATTTTTCTTGATTTTTTCAATGGTCCAGTTCAAGAATTGTATTCTTGATTTAATTAAAAAAAGGTGTCCACCAACAAGTATAATCTTGACTTTGGAGAATATTATAGAAGATTTGGAGGTTTGAAACATCAAGTTCTTTGAATTAAGAAGCTCGAAGTTCGTGATCTAAAAAGCTGGAAGTTTGTGGTTTAAAATTAATTCAAGAACTGATCATCGAATTTAGATAAAAATTCGAATTCTTTATTTTTTATATAACATATACGTGAACATCTAGACAATATTGTTTATTGAATTAAAGAAATTTTTAATTTCTGGATAATTCCCCTTCCGCACTCCAACATTCAAGACCTGTGAATTAAGGCCATTGTTAACCCTGCCTACCATGTAATTGCTTTTATTTTTATTATTTTTTTGTCAAATTTATAGGGATGTCATATGGTCCTTCGTTTGTAATGGTCATTTTAGCATATTACTTTGCCAAGAATATCAGGAATGAGGCAATGAAGTCGTCATTTGAAAGACGTTAAACTAGGCGATTTCTTATACACGATAGCATCAAGCCTTTCAACAAGCCGACCCTTAATGTAGATGAAGCCACTTATTTTGCTTGACTTCCATGTAATGATATGCATATAAACACAGATAAGATTTAACGAGAACAGATTTTTTTTATATGCATCCACAAGTGCCAATTTTATGACTCAACAAGTTCAGCAGACCTCAGATGATAGGATTCATTTCCTTAGCTGTTCTTCCCATTAAAATTTTGACTCTCAATACATTAGATATTGTTAGAAAATTGTAAGTAACATGAGGTGTCAAAGTTTTATTAGCAATGGCTCAACAAAAAATAACATATCTCAACTCGTTCTAATACCCAATAGGTTTGGGGGACTAACTTTGGAGATGCAATATGATTTTATTTTACAAACTCATCAATGTGTATACCACAAATGAACAGGCCAATTTTTGCGAGGTGGACCTCTATATTAATTACAGCCCAACCGTGGCTAAAAGCTGGTGAAATACGAGAATAAAAAATTTTATCACCAAAAAGGGTGGCTCTAACAACTCTCATTTATTGAGCTCCATATATAAAAATTGATTTGGAGAAAATAATTCTCAGATAAATTAAGTATCAAAAATTGTATTAATAAAAGTCTTTATCATATTCGTATGCTACCAACCATAATTGGTCTTAATCAAACATAATGAAAAGTGTAATTATACATCAATTCACAATTTAAAAGCATCCTAAGCAGTCTACTTCGCTTGAAAATTTGCCAGAAGCTTGCTTGATTAATGATCCATAATGAAACATCAGCGTTTGTTTAATTATAACATTTTAGGGCATCTTTATATCTACAACACACTTCTCATTACATTATACACACTCCAAAAATAGTTATTTTGACTTTTTTAGATAAACTTTTAAGTAATGTTATTTTGCACCACCATTTCAAGAATTAGTCTAGGTATCATCTGCATCTCTATTAAATGATAGATTCACTTAAATATAATGGTATATTATTCATTTAATTAAATCTATCAAGTGTGGCCACTTCAACTCGTGCTCTAGGACAATTGGTGCTTTGTGAAATAAGATGATAAATTTGGACGTCAGCATAGTTGAGCAGTAAAAGCATGTCATTAATATTAGATTTGTCTAAGTTTAAAAGACATTTAAGTAAAAAATTATAACGTTTTAATTGTCTGTCAAAGTGAGAAATAGTAATGCC